GGACTAGACTATAGACTAGACTATAGACTAGACTATAGACTAGACTATAGACTAGACTATAGACTAGACTATAGACTAGACTATAGACTAGACTATAGACTAGACTATAGACTAGACTATAGACTAGACTATAGACTCGACTATAGACTAGATTATAGACTCGACTATAGACTAGACTATAGACTCGACTATAGACTAGACTATAGACTAGACTATAGACTAGACTATAGACTAGACTATAGACTAGACTATAGACTAGACTATAGACTAGACTATAGACTAGACTACAGACTAGACTACAGACTAGACTATAAACTAGACCAGACTTAATTAGATTTGAACTGGAACTGAACTGGAACTGAACTAGAACTGAACTAGAACTTAACTAGAACTGAACTAGAACTGAACTAGAACTGAACTAGAACTGAACTAGAACTGAACTAGAACTGAACTAGAACTGAACTAGAACTGAACTAGAACTGAACTAGAACTGCACTAGAACTGAACTAGAACTGAACTAGAACTGAACAAGAACTGAACTAGAACTAAACTAGAACTGAACTAGAACTGAACTAGAACTGAACTAGAACTGGACTAGAACTGAACTAGAACTGAACTAGAACTGAACTAGAACTGAACTAGAACTGAACTAGAACTGAACTAGAACTGAACTAGAACTGAACTAGAACTGAACTAGAACTGAACTAGAACTGAACTAGAACTGAACTAGAACAGAACTAGAACAGAACTAGAACAGAACTAGAACAGAACTAGAACAGAACTAGAACTGAACTAGAACTGAACTAGAACTGAACTAGAACTGAACTAGAACTGAACTAGAACTGAACTAGAACTGAACTAGAACGAACTAGAATTGAACTAAAACTGAACTAGACGGAACTAGAACAGAACTAGAACAGAACTAGAACAGAACTAGAACAGAACAGAACTAGAACAGAACAGAACTAGAACAGAACTAGAACAGAACTAGAACAGAACTAGAACAGAACTAGAACAGAACTAGAACAAAACTAGAACAGAACTAGAACAGAACTAAAACAGAACTAGAACAGAACTAGAACAGAACTAGAACAGAACTAGAACAGAACTAGAACAGAACTAGAATAGAACTAGAACAGAACTAGAACAGAACTAGAATAGAACTAGAACAGAACTAGAACAGAACTAGAACAGAACTAGAACGGAACTAGAACAGAACTAGAACAGAACTAGAACAGAACTAGAACAGAACTAGAACAGAACTAGAACAGAACTAGAACGGAACTAGAACAGAACTAGAACAGAACTAGAACAGAACTAGAACAGAACTAGAACAGAACTAGAACAGAACTAGAACAGAACTAGAACAGAACTAGAACAGAACTAGAACTAGAACTAAAACAGAACTAGAACAGAACTAGAACAGAACTAAACAGAACTAGAACAGAACTAGAACAGAACTAGAACAGAACTAGAACAGAACTAGAACAGAACTAGAACAGAACTAGAACAGAACTAGAACAGAACTAGAACAGAACTAGAACAGAACTAGAACAGAACTAGAAACAGAACTAGAACAGAACTAGAACAGAACTAGAACAGAACTAGAACAGAACTAGAACAGAACTAGAACAGAACTAGAACAGAACTAGAACAGAACTAGAACAGAACTAGAACAGAACTAGAACAGAACTAGAACAGAACTAGAACAGAACTAGAACAGAACTAGAACAGAACTAGAACAGAACTAGAACAGAACTAGAACAGAACTAGAACAGAACTAGAACAGAACTAGAACAGAACTAGAACAGAACTAGAACAGAACTAGAACAGAACTAGAACAGAACTAGAACAGAACTAGAACAGAACTAGAACAGAACTAGAACAGAACTAGAACAGACTAGAACAGAACTAGAACAGAACTAGAACAGAACTAGAACAGAACTAGAACAGAACTAGAATAGAACTAGAACAGAAACTAGAACAGAACTAGAACAGAACTAGAACAGAACTAGAACAGAACTAGAACAGAACTAGAACAGAACTAGAACAGAACTAGAACAGAACTAGAACAGAACTAGACTAGAACTAGAACAGAACTAGAACAGAACTAGAACGAACTAGAACAGAACTAGAACAGAACTAGAACAGAACTAGACAGAACTAGAACAGAACTAGAACAGAACTAGAAACAGAACTAGAACAGAACTAGAACGAACTAGACTAGAACTGGAACAAGAACAAGAACAGAACTAGAGGAATAGAAACTAAACAGAACTAGAACTAGAACAAGAATAGAACTGAACTAAAACTGAACTTTGAACTTGAATTTTCTATTTGGCCCCAAAAAAATCCTTGAACAAGTCATTGGTCTTTTTTTGTTAAACAAATTTAACTAAAATTTGTTTTAATCCTATTATTTGTCAAAATCTTTTTTTTATTATACTTGCATTATTAGTAATTTTCAAAAAGCTGAAAAAAATCTCAATAAACCACTTTTCTAATTAATAATTTTGCATCATTGCTTTTAAATAAATAACTGCACACACATACACACCCACCTTCAACCTGCACATGATTGGCGCAGTTTGATTTTCTTTTAATATATTTTTTTTTTTTTCTTTTTAACAAAATTTAATTTTTATAAATACATAAATAAGAGAAAATCAACGAAATTTTCGTATTGTTTTGTTGTGGTGTCATAAATATTTTTAAATTCACTTGTCATTTGTTTATAATTTTCTTGTTGTTGCAAAAAAAATTGTTCTTCTTTTTTTTGAAAATAATTTTTTAAATATTTTGTTCTTGTTGTTGGTTTTTGTTTTATGTTGTAGTTGTTTCTAGCGAAAATGAAAACAAATTAGTGTCTGCTCTAATTCTGGAAAATGAAATAATTTTTTTTTTGGTTTGATTTCGTTTTCAAATAAATTATTTAATTTTTTGTTTTTGTATTTTTTTTTTTTTTAGTTTAAAAAATAAATAAATAAAAAACAAACATCAAAATAAATTGTAGGGCTTCTTAAACATACTTATTTCACAATAACTGTTAATTTAATTAAGAAGAAAAGTTTCCAAAAGATAGGGTTAGTTCTTGAGGGATTAAAGACTTCATATATTTAAAATAAGATTATTTGGCAAATAATTTGTTTAAGATTTGTTAATAACGAACTAATTCAGTTCTAGGTGAGTTCTAGTTCAGTTCCAGTTCAGTTCTAGTTTAGTTCTAGTTCAGTTCTAGTTCAGTTCTAGATCAGTTCTAGTTCAGTTCTTGTTCAGTTCTAGTTCAGTTCTAGTTCAGTTCTAGTTCAGTTCTAGTTCAGTTCTAGTTCTAGTTCTAGTTCTGATCTGTTCTGTTCTGTTCTGTTCTTTCTGTCTAGTTCTGTTCTGTTCTAGTTCTGTTCTAGTTCTGTTCTAGCTCAGTTCTAGTTCGGTTCTAGTTTAGTTGTAGCTAAGTTCTATTTTAGATCTAGTTTAGTTCTAGTTCTGTTCTAGTTCTGTTCTTGTTCTGTTCTTGTTCTGTTCTAGTTCTGTTCTAGTTCTGTTCTAGTTCTGTTCTAGTTCTGTTCTAGTTCTGTTCTAGTTCTGTTCTAGTTCTGTTCTAGTTCTGTTCTAGTTCTGTTCTAGTTCTGTTCTAGCTCTGTTCTAGTTCTGTTCTAGTTCTGTTCTAGTTCTGTTCTAGTTCTGTTCTAGTTCTGTTCTAGTTCTGTTCTAGTTCTGTTCTAGTTCTGTTCTAGTTCTGTTCTAGTTCTGTTCTAGTTCTGTTCTAGTTCTGTTCTAGTTCTGTTCTAGTTCTGTTCTAATTCTGTTCTATTTCTGTTCTGGTTTGTTCTAGTTCTGTTCTAATTCTGTTCTAGTTCTGTTCTAGTTCTGTTCTAGTTCTGTTCTAGTTCTGTTCTAGTTCTGTTCTAGTTCTGTTCTAGTTCTGTTCTAGTTCTGTTCTAGTTCTAGTTCTGTTCTAGTTCTGTTCTAGTTCTGTTCTAGTTCTGTTCTAGTTCTGTTCTAGTTCTGTTCTAGTTCTGTTCTAGTTCTGTTCTAGTTCTGTTCTAGTTCTGTTCTAGTTCTGTTCTAGTTCTGTTCTAGTTCTGTTCTAGTTCTGTTCTAGTTCTGTTCTAGTTCTGTTCTAGTTCTGTTCTAGTTCTGTTCTAGTTCTGTTCTAGTTCTGTTCTAATTCTGTTCTATTTCTGTTCTGGTTTTGTTCTAGTTCTGTTCTAATTCTGTTCTAGTTCTGTTCTAGTTCTGTTCTAGTTCTGTTCAGTTTGTTCTAGTTCTGTTCTAGTTCTGTTCTAGTTCTGTTCTAGTTCTGTTCTAGTTCTGTTCTAGTTCTGTTCTAGTTCTGTTCTAGTTCTGTCTAGTTCTGTTCTAGTTCTGTTCTAGTTCTGTTCTAGTTCTGTTCTAGTTCTGTTCTAGTTCTGTTCTAGTTCTGTTCTAGTTCTGTTCTAGTTCTGTTCTAGTTCTGTTCTAGTTCTGTTCTAGTTCTGTTCTAGTTCTGTTCTAGTTCTGTTCTAGTTCTGTTCTAGTTCTGTTCTAGTTCTGTTCTAGTTCTGTTCTAGTTCTGTTCTAGTTCTGTTCTAGTTCTGTTCTAGTTCTTTCTAGTTCTGTTCTAGTTCTGTTCTAGTTCTGTTCTAGTTCTGTTCTAGTTCTGTTCTAGTTCTGTTCTAGTTCTGTGTTCTAGTTCTGTTCTAGTTCTGTTCTAGTTCTGTTCTAGTTCTGTTCTAGTTCTGTTCTAGTTTGTTCTAGTTTTGTTCTAGTTTTGTTCTAGTTCTGTGTTCTAGTTCTGTTCTGTTCTAGTTCTGTTCTAGTTCTGTTCTAGTTCTGTTCTAGTTCTGTTCTAGTTCTGTTCTAGTTCTGTTCTAGTTCTGTTCTAGTTCTGTTGTAGTTCTGTTCTAATTCTGCTCCAGTTCTCTTTTAGTTCAGTTTTAGTTTAGTTCGAATTTTAATTTATCTTTAACAAATATTAAAACTTTTATTATTTATTAATAATATTATTTCTCTTATTCTAGGTTTGCGCTTTTGTTAAATGATGGCAAAAGATGGCGGCTAAACCACCAAAGCCGCCAGGAAATTTTTTAAAATGTTTACTAACTCAACACAATATAAATAAGAATCAACAGCAACACAACAACGAAGACGACGACATAGAAGGCAACAGTAGTGAATCGCAATTTCTAACGAATTCAACAACTTCTGCAACAGCAAGTAACTCCACAGATAGTAATTCTAATACGGCAGCAATAGCAGCCAATAAAAAACAAAATTGTAATTGTAGCAATATTAGTATAATGCACTTATTTCATGAAATGAAACAAGAATTTCCCACTATACCCGATACAATTGTAGCTCAATGTGTTAATGAAAATTGTCATCAACGTGAAAATTGTATACAAATGTTAAGGAATGAATTGGAATTGAATCCAATACCGGCTCAAAGTTATCCTGCCAAAGTTTTGCATCCACCAAATAATAATAATAATTGTAATAACGCGACGGGACAAAAACCACCATTACAACAGAAACCTTTGGTAGGGCAACAGAAACCGCCATTGAAACCCATAAAACCCATACGAACAGCACCATTACAACCACCACCAACAACAACAACAGCAGCAGCAGCTGTTCAACAAAGTAATAATAATAATACCAATACAACAACAAATAAACCTTTGGTTGTTGAAAATCTAGATAATATTGTTAATGGTGGTAATGTTGGCACGGGTGGTGGTGAAGTTTCGGGGAATATAATTGACTCGAATGATATGCCCACTAAGATTACACCTCAATATAAACAAACCATTTCAACAACAACAAATACCGTTAATTCAACAACAAATGAGGTGAATAATAATACGAATAACGTTTGCGTTGGTATTGAGGGAGAGTCGGTTGAGAGAAATTTACCACGACAAAGACCCACGACTCTCAATTTAAATTCGCAATTGCAAAAACAACAGCAAGAACAGAGACAACGTTTAAATGTGCAATTACAGCAACGCTTTCAAGAACAACGAAACAGACAACTACAGCAACCACAAAATCCTATAATAATAACAAAACCTTTACGAAAAGCTCCCCTACCACCCATTGCCCCCAAACCCTCACAATATCATATCAATCACACTAACACTAATAGTTTTTTAAATGATTCTTCTTCACTCTCATCGAATCATACAACGACAAGTCCACTATCGGAATCGGAAATTTCTGTTAGTGTATCATTATCTACACCTTCGCCTACATCATCGCCGAACTCAACAACAACTCACCACCAACAACATTTGCAAACAAAATCACCCATTCGACATCGTTCAGTCATTACTTTACAACCGGAGCCGCCATACACGCGTGATTTTCTCTATACGCCTGTCTCGTTGCCAACATCGACGACAACACCATCATCACCGTCCTTGGCAGCGCCTTCGTCTACAGCAATACAAACAACTGCTACCCAATCTTCTTCATCGGCTACCTCTTCGCCCACAGCCTCTGTAACTGGTTCGCAAAAAGTTTTACCTCTGTTAATCTCACTTTACGACCGCCTGTCTCACCCACGGGCGCCAATTCTGCTCTACAACCCTCTACCATAGATATAACTGCGGTCCTGGTTTTTCCGGTGCCAGTGGTGGTGGTAAAAGTCTTCATTATTCCAGTACTTCATATGATGCCCGTTTGGGTTATCAGCAAAATTTTCAAATAACGGTCACCGACGAGGGTGGTGTTTTCAGTGCTTGCCGTTTGCGTCCCCAGCAGCAGCAGCAGCACCAACGCCTTCTTAATCAAGTAAATATTAGTAAAGAAAATCAATATGATGCACATTTCCATAATGAAAACCTAACTAATCACCATAATTATATAAATTCTTTTTTTGAATGCTGAACAAAAACAACAACAGCAGCAACAATTGCAACTGCAACAGCAATTTCACAATAATAACGTGGTGGCTTTACAGCAAAACATACAAAATCAAATACAATCACCCAACAATCAACAGCACGGTATAGGTGGAGGTGTAAATACATCATCTGGTTTTGGCGGCAGTGGTGGTATTTCAGGAAATATAAGTGGCAATATGTGTTTACCACCACAACAGGCGATGGATGGTATGTTTTATTTTATTTCAACTTGTTCTGTTTTTATTTTATAATATATATTTTTAAATGTTTTTTTGTTTATTTTAAATTACACGGTTTGACAAAAATTTACAATATAGCCGGGAGATAGAAATGAAGTAGAATTAGAACTGAACTAAAACAGAACTAGATTAGAACAGAACTAGAATAGAATAGAACTAGAATAGAACAGAACTAGAACAGAACTAGAACAGAACTTGAACAGAACTAGAACAGAACTAGAACTACAACAGAACTAGAAACAGAACTAGAAAAGAACTAGAACAGAACTAGAACAGAACTGGAACAGAACTAGAACAGAACAGAACTAAAACAGAACCAGAACAGAACTGGAACAGAACTAAAACAGAACTAGTACAGACTATAGACTAGTCTAGACTATAGACTAGTTTAGACTATAGACTAGTCTAGACTCTAGACTATTCAAGCCTTAGACTAGTCTAGACTATAGACTAGTCTAGACTATAGACTAGTCTAGGACTATAGACTAGTCTAGACTATAGACTAGACTATAGGCTAGACTATAGACTAGACTATGGACTAGAATATAGGCTGAGAACTATAGACTAGACTATAGATAGACTATAGACTAGACTATAGACTAGACTGTAGACTAGACTGTAGACTAGACTGTAGACTAGACTATAGACTAGACTATAGACTAGAACTATAGACTAGACTATAGACTAGACTATAGACTAGACTATAGACTAGACTATAGACTAGACTATAGACTAGACTATAGACTAGACTATAGACTAGACTATAGACTAGACTAGACTATAGACTAGACTATAGACTAGACTATAGACTAGACTATAGACTAGACTATAGACTAGACTATAGACTAGACTATAGACTAGACTATAGACTAGACTATAGACTAGACTATAGACTAGACTATAGACTAGACTATAGACTAGACTATAGACTAGACTATAGACTAGACTATAGACTAGACTATAGACTAGACTATAGACTAGACTATAGACTAGACTATAGACTAGACTATAGACTAGACTATAGACTAGACTATAGACTAGACTATACTAGACTATAGACTAGACTAGACTATAGACTAGACTAGACTATAGACTAGACTATAGACTAGACTATAGACTAGACTATAGACTAGACTATAGACTAGACTAGACTATAGACTAGACTATAGACTAGACTATAGAAGACTAGACTTTAGACTAGACTATAGACTAGACTATAGACTAGACTATAGACTAGACTATAGACTAGACTATAGACTAGACTATAGACTAGACTATAGACTAGACTATAGACTAGACTATAGACTAGACTATAGACTAGACTATAGACTAGACTATAGACTAGACTATAGACTAGACTAGACTATAGACTAGACTATAGACTAGACTATAGACTAGACTATAGACTAGACTATAGACTAGACTATAGCTAGACTATAGACTAGACTATAGACTAGACTATAGACTAGACTATAGACTAGACTATAGACTAGACTATAGACTAGACTATAGACTAGACTATAGACTAGACTATAGACTAGACTATAGACTAGACTATAGACTAGACTATAGACTAGACTATAGACTAGACTATAGACTAGACTATAGACTAGACTATAGACTAGACTATAGACTAGACTATAGACTAGACTATAGACTAGACTATAGACTAGACTAGACTATAGACTAGACTAGACTATAGACTAGACTATAGAACTAGACTATAGACTCTAGACTATAGACGAGACTATAGACTAGACTATAGACTAGACCTATAGACTAGACTATAGACTAGACTATAGACTAGACTATAGACTAGACTATAGACTAGACTATAGACTAGACTATAGACGAGACTAGACTACTAGACTAGACTATAGACTAGACTATAGACTAGACTATAGACTAGACTATAGACTAGACTATAGACTAAACTATAGACTAGACTATAGACTAGACCTATAGACTAGACTATAGACTAGACTATAGACTAGACTATAGACTAGACTATAGACTAGACTATAGACTAGACTATAGACTAGACTATAGACTAGACTATAGACTAGACTATAGACTAGACTATAGACTAGAACTATAGACTAGACTATAGACTAGACTATAGACTAGACTATAGACTAGACTATAGACTAGACTATAGACTAGACTAGACTAGACTATACTAGACTATAGACTAGACTATAGACTAGACTATAGACTAGACTATAGACTAGACTATAGACAGACTATAGACTATACTAGACTAGACTAGACTAGACCTAGACTAGACTATAGACTAGACTATACTAGACTATAGACTAGATAGACTAGACTATAGACTGACTATAGACTAGACTATAGACTAGACTATATACTAGACTATAGACTAGACTATAGACTAGACTATAGACTAGACTATAGACTAGACTATAGACTAGACTATAGACTAGACTATAGACTAGACTATAGACTAGACTATAGACTAGACTATAGACTAGACTATAGACTAGACTATAGACTAGACTATAGACTAGACTATAGACTAACTATAGACTAGACTATAGACTAGACTATAGACTAGACTATAGACTAGACTATAGACTAGACTATAGACTAGACTATAGACTAGACTATAGACTAGACTATAGACTACTATAGACTAGACTATAGACTAGACTATAGACTAGACTATAGACTAGACTATAGACTAGACTATAGACTAGACTATAGACTAGACTATAGACTAGACTATAGACTAGACTATAGACTAGACTATAGACTAGACTATAGACTAGACTATAGACTAGACTATAGACTAGACTATAGACTAGACTATAGACTAGACTATAGACTAGACTATAGACTAGACTATAGACTAGACTATAGACTACTATAGACTAGACTATAGACTAGACTATAGACTAGACTATAGACTAACTATAGACTAGACTATAGACTAGACTATAGACTAGACTATAGACTAGACTATAGACTAGACTATAGACTAGACTATAGACTAGACTATAGACTAGACTATAGACTAGACTATAGACTAGACTATAGACTAGACTATAGACTAGACTATAGACTAGACTATAGACTAGACTATAGACTACTATAGACTAGACTATAGACTAGACTAGACTAGACTAGACTAGACTATAGACTAGACTAGACTAGACTATAGACTAGACTAGACTATAGACTAGACTAGACTATAGACTAGACTAGACTAGACTATAGACTAGACTATAGACCAGACCAGAGATTAGACTAGAGACTAGACTATAGACTAGACTATAGGCTAGACTATAGACTAGACTAGACTAGACTAGAGTAGACTATAGACTAGAGTAGACTATAGACTAGACTATAGACCTAGACTATAGACTAGACTAGAGACTAGACTATAGACTAAACTAGAGACTAGACTATAGACTAGACTATAGACTAGACTATAGGCTAGACTATAGGCTAGACTATAGGCTAGACTATAGACTAGAATATAGGCTAGACTATAGGCTAGACTATAGACTAGAATATAGACTAGAGACTAGACTATAGACTAGACTATAGACTAGAATACAGACTAGACTATAGACTAGACTATGGATTAGACTTTAAACTACACTATAGACTACACTGTAGGCTAGACTATAGACTACACCTTCAGACTATACTATAGGCTAGACTATAAACCAGACTATGGACTAAATTTCATCATATTTGTTTTTGCTAAAATTTCAAACTTTGTTGTCTAGTGTATATTGCCTTTTCGTTTTTGTATTGCGTATTAATATTAAACATACGTAATTCCCTAAAAGTCACAAATATTTCAAGTCTTTTGTCTTTGTTGCTAAAAAGAAAACACACTCTTATATTGATTAATTTTTTCGCAACATTTATTTACAATGCTATGGCAGAAAATGTTTAGTTCATATTTTATTTTTTATTGATTCCGTCATAATAAAGATAGGAATGTAATACTGGTGGAAATGTAAACATTAATAAAATAATAGTAAAGACATAAAAATAATATTAAGTAAACAAAAGAAATAAATAATAGTATGCAATAACAAAGAAGTAAAGATTTTTTCAATTGCCTTTACAAAATGTTGCCCTTTTGCTGTCCTAGTTGCATTTTTTTTTCTAAAAACTAAAGTTTAAATTGGAAATTCACTTGATAGTTTTAAACTGTTTAGAATTTTCCATGCAATTTTTTCCTCTTTATAATTTACAGACTTAGAAATTTCTTTGAATTTTGCGGTCACTAATATTTTATTTATAAAACTTTATATTTTTGAAATAAAATTCTTTAGAATGCGTTTTCTTATCAAGGGCCAATCGAATATAAGATAAGATTTTGTCAAGCACATGTTCGAACCAAAAAAAAAAACAAAAACGTATGTATGAATTATTTTTAATATTTTGTTTCGGTGGTATAAATCTCTGGTAAAATTGGTTAACAGTTTAGACAATAAGCCACAATAAAGTACTTTTTCTAATTTAACCATAGTTTTATAATTAGATCGTAACTGTTTGACCACATTGTTATATTTGTAATTTTATTTTATGTAAAGTACTTTTTTAATATGCGACGTAGTAAAAATGTATGTTGAAAGTTTTATTGTCAACAATAACATTATATTTTTCTTATCACAGAAAAATAATGTTTATTTACAGAAAAAAAAAAAAATAATAATGAAAAATTGATTACAATTTTTTTTTATTATTTTTATTGGGAAAATATTTTCTGATAATAAATTTTGTGTAGACAATTGATGTCGTAGTGAGATTACACAAAGTGATTATTCAAAAAGTCGCTGAACTTGCAAATAGTTAAGGAATTCAAGTCAATAATCAACTAGAACAGTAATGGAACTGGACTAGCACGGATCTAGAACTGAACTAGAACAGAACGAGAACTGAACTAAAACTGAAATAGAACTGAACTAGAACTGAACTAGAACG